ATAGTGATCGGGGCGGGAACAATTGTGGCAACACCACCCACGCGGCCGATAAGAGCACACTCTGCCTTCCCCCCCGCGCAAAAGCAGAAACTCCGAGTAATATCTTCCATAGTACCAGTCGTTCAATGGCAAGTTTTGGGTCAGCTAAGTTGTTATGTTCCACAGCAGCAACAACATATATAAACGAATTATTATGTAGAATTATTTAGTGCTGAGCGCGCAATTCTTTTCAGCAGAGATTTTTTATGTAATCATACTATATTCGACCACTCTCAATNAAACACCGAGGGGGGGGCGTGTTTTACAACGTCGTTGCCAAGCGACGAACACCCAACCCGGATGGCAAACACCGGGGATAGTGATCGGGGCGGGAACAATTGTGGCAACACCACCCACGCGGCCGATAAGAGCACACTCTGCCTTCCCCCCCGCGCAAAAGCAGAAACTCCGAGTAATATCTTCCATAGTACCAGTCGTTCAATGGCAAGTTTTGGGTCAGCTAAGTTGTTATGTTCCACAGCAGCAACAACATATATAAACGAATTATTATGTAGAATTATTTAGTGCTGAGCGCGCAATTCTTTTCAGCAGAGATTTTTTATGTAATCATACTATATTCGACCACTCTCAATATATATTTTTAGGAGACAGACGTACGTACGTACGTACGTGTTGTCGTATTGACTTTTTTTACAGAGAGAGGCAGCGTATGTATGTATATAGTATATCATCGCCCACTATCTCTCTCCCTTTGTCTCAGTCCTTGCTTTGCCCCCCGATCGTTGCCGTGCGTGTTTCTAGGCAGCAAAAATAGAGTAGGCCCATCCATGTCTATGTTGCTTCCGGCAATAATACATCATGATCAGAAGATAAAGATGGCGCTCGCACGTAAGAATTTGGCAGTTAAGAAATTCGGCCTCGGAAAAAATCAAAATCAAGGAAATCGACCACATATGCATACAAATAATAACAACAACACGTGCTGCGTGCTCAGGCCCGACGTGGTGTTAAGAACAAGAACGAACCCGCCATTCTTTGTGGTGTAAGAACAGAGGCCCCAAAACGCGACAGCTGCAAGATAAGTAGCACTCACGAAGGGATGAGGGGCTACTCGCGGGGTGACCGGTGGGCAGTTAGTTGCAGATCAGCGGCGAGGAGGAGGTTCCTTTGAAAATGGTGCTGGTGCGGAGATGGGGGGGGTGTACTGTTTTTATTTTTGCGCGTCGAACGGTGGTCAAAAATAAAATCGGGCTTACAAATGCCGGCACTCTTTTAAGCTTCTTTTTTTTTATTGCCGCGAGTGTCCCAAAAATCGGTGTGTCGTGTACTCTGTGGACACCGGCTGGTACATAGTTTTCGCAGCAAGGCATGGACATTCTCGGGCTTGGACAACCAACCTCGCCTGCAACCAAGCACAGATACAAATGTCCCTTAACTGGGTTAGNCTTTGTGGTGTAAGAACAGAGGCCCCAAAACGCGACAGCTGCAAGATAAGTAGCACTCACGAAGGGATGAGGGGCTACTCGCGGGGTGACCGGTGGGCAGTTAGTTGCAGATCAGCGGCGAGGAGGAGGTTCCTTTGAAAATGGTGCTGGTGCGGAGATGGGGGGGGTGTACTGTTTTTATTTTTGCGCGTCGAACGGTGGTCAAAAATAAAATCGGGCTTACAAATGCCGGCACTCTTTTAAGCTTCTTTTTTTTTATTGCCGCGAGTGTCCCAAAAATCGGTGTGTCGTGTACTCTGTGGACACCGGCTGGTACATAGTTTTCGCAGCAAGGCATGGACATTCTCGGGCTTGGACAACCAACCTCGCCTGCAACCAAGCACAGATACAAATGTCCCTTAACTGGGTTAGGGCCGGCGTTTCCGAACCCTGCCTGACCTTGGAGGTTGGCAACGGTGCGCCCGACCGGGTGACGCAGGTTGTGCAACGCCTAGGGGTTACAGGTCACTCTCCCCCCCCCGTAACCGTGCCCACTGGCCAACTGTCTGTCTGTGTGATTAATGTTTGGAATTGTTGCAAGGGAATGATGACTGTAAGTAAGTCAGGTTATTGCACGTTGTGGTAAAGTGTTAAAACGAGACTGATCGCAGATAAGTCAAGTATGGTCAGTCCAAGACCCAATATCAACACTTGCGACACCCACTTTATGAATTGTTTCTCTGCACCCAGGTGGTTGTTCGCAAAACCGAAAGTACCGGCAAACGCCCTGTTTCCAGGTGCAGGTCCTGTGGAAAAAAAAATTTTTCTTGTTGTCGATTTATTTGCAAATAACCGGAAAATCTTGTTCACTTTTTCCTGGGGTGGGCTTTTGTCAGACCACAATTATGAGACCGGATTTCGACAGCTCTCGCGATTCCCCAGGTGGAATTTTTTTCCGATTTCGATTTCAGCAAAAATTGACGAAGTTATCGCCGAACAACTGGATTAGAGAGACCATTTTGTTCACTTTTTCCCTCCGACATTCAACCATAGAGCTTCAAAAAGACCACGGCAGTCGATTCCACTTGAATTCCCCAGATGGAATTTTTTTCCGATTTTCCGAAAAAAATCTGGTTCGCGAGGTATTCGGCATTTTGTTTTGCCGATGGGCGGCGATTTGTTCCTGCCACGCACGCACACACGCACGCACACATAGCGCTTGTGCGAGGGTGTGCCCTCGCCCATACGCCCTACTGCGGCACTCAGCACCCGCAGCAGTCATGGACACGAAGAAGAAACGTGGCAGACCACCAAAGCGAGGCAGGTTCAAAGGCAAATTTCAGAGCCATGAACCAGCTGTCGCTGCTCCCGAGCCATTGGACGACAGCACATCTTCTCCGATGGAAGTCGTTGACGAACCACACGACGACCACGACGAAGCCTGGTGCGACGAAGACGCCGGTGCCGCCTCGGGTGGAAGTCAGGCCACACTGTCTTTCGGGTCCGCTGCTGCTCTCGGTGGGTCTCCAGCAGCTTGCGCCGCACTGTCTTGGGTTCGCGAGGTTGCACCGCCTCGGCGTGCGGAGGGACCTTGTCGGCAGACTCTCAGCCGTCGCAGACAGGTTGCGCTAGGGGCTGCGAAACGTCAGATGGCGAGCTATATGGCCGGCTGGCTGACGCGTGGAGCGGAGCAGCAGTCACAGCAGTCATTACCTCAAAGTTCGGAGACGCAACGTGCGGCGGAACCACTGCTTGAAGAGGACGACAGCAGTGAGTTGGTGAGATTCCTAGGAAAATAAGCTGTCCGAAACGCGCAAGCGTGGACGGAGGTGTGTGTCGTGGTGTTTTTGTTTTTGTATTTGTGGTGTTCACTTTAGTTATAATCATTTTTGTGTGTTTGTGTCGTGGTGTTCGCTTTTGTAAATCGTGTCCTGTGAGGCGAGGGTTACCCGTTCAGAGCGTGTTTGGGCTCTTACCGGACATTTACAGTGTGATTTGGGGGTTCCGTGAAGAGGTTAGGGGGCCCCGTGGGGGGTCGGAGGGGGGGAAGGTAGGGGTTCCGTGGATCATTATGACCAAAAAGTCACATTTTGTCCAAACACAAAAAAACTCATCGGATATCGACGCAGCTCGACGCCGCCGTCACGGCCAAAGCAGTTTCACCTTCCAAATCGTTTTTGTTCGAAAGTTATCGCTAAAAAACAAAATGGACAAATTGTCCTGGACTGACCATACGCGTTGAACCTGGGGGGGGGCGAATGTCGTGCAATGAGTCAACCCTAGTTTAAGTCAGTGTAAGCAGACTTGGGGTAGTTTGATCGCAGCATAGTCTATATGTTGAGGCGTGATGCAATGGACCTGAAAATGATGGCTCTGGGAGCAGGGTTGGAGTTAGTTCTGATTGAGATATCGTCAAATAAGGTCATGAGAAGTGTATGAGGTGGAGACTAGAATTGAGAAGGTGTGGGTTTATGGTTGGAATGATGAACTTATGAGGGATTTGCAGTCGGTTGAGAGAGAGTGAGAGAGAGAGTTGGAGTGAAAGTATAGCGGCGCAATTGGATAGATACAGAGGAAGCGGTGCAATTAGCTCGTCGTGTCGTCAGCTGATGTCGCGTGCCCCCTTTTTTCAGTGTTCAGTTTCCCTCCTGTTCCCGGCCAACGAAGGCCTAAGAAACACACTTTGATCGCAAGCAACTTCGAGACGCGCGCACCCACGACCCCACTGGCACATCTACACACACATCTACGCGCGATAGGCCACGGCCGGCCGATTCCACGTCATCACGCCGCCTCTGAGAGAGACACAGCCACACAGCAGTCCAAACACGTCATCATGTCCTACGTCCCAGGCTTGGTGTTGACAACAAGCGGGTAGTCCAGGACGCGGTAACCAGGTGGTCGTCCACATGCAGCATGGCAGCGCGACTGATAGAGCTTAAGGTACCAATTAAGATGCACGAGGCGGCGGACAAGCTGGGCCCGCTACTTTCGGCGGCAGACTGGGCGGTTCTTAAGATGATATTATTGCTGTCCTGGGACCAACCGTTCAGAAACAACACCCAGACTTTGCTTGAGGGCCACAAGTAGTGTGTGACGGGTAGCTTAGTGGTACCCGTCATCTACGACCTACGACCTCCGCAACAGCCTCGAGGACGCGATCGACGATCTCGCCGAGCTACCGCCCGACTCGGACGCCAACGTGAACACGGCGAGGGCGGCGGTGATGCCGTGCATCAAGGCGCTCCGAGACGATTTCATCAACCGGTGGGGAGACGGACGCAACATCCTGATCTACAAGGAGGGCCCCAGGCGGCAACCAGCTGGTTTCAAGCCTGTGCAGGTGCTAGCAACCGCGCTCGACCCTCGCACGAAGATCCTGCATGGAGTGGACGAGGACGAGAAGGCCGACGTTTGGAAGCTCGTGCAAGAAGAAGAGGCGGTGAAGATCGCGGTGGAAACCCGCAATGCGGAAAACTCTCAGCGCACCTCGTCGCAGCAAGGACCAGAAGCAGCGGCAGGACCGGCATCATCGTCTACCAGTGCGGGCGCAGAGGAATCCTCGAGAAAACGCCCACGCCGTGGTGGTGGTGGGTTCATGGCGGCGGCGCAAGCGGTCGGAGGCGCACGAACCCCGCAGCTGGGCGANNNNGATCTCGCCGAGCTACCGCCCGACTCGGACGCCAACGTGAACACGGCGAGGGCGGCGGTGATGCCGTGCATCAAGGCGCTCCGAGACGATTTCATCAACCGGTGGGGAGACGGACGCAACATCCTGAACTACAAGGAGGGCCCCAGGCGGCAACCAGCTGGTTTCAAGCCTGTGCAGGTGCTAGCAACCGCGCTCGACCCTCGCACGAAGATCCTGCATGGAGTGGACGAGGACGAGAAGGCCGACGTTTGGAAGCTCGTGCAAGAAGAAGAGGCGGTGAAGATCGCGGTGGAAACCCGCAATGCGGAAAACTCTCAGCGCACCTCGTCGCAGCAAGGACCAGAAGCAGCGGCAGGACCGGCATCATCGTCTACCAGTGCGGGCGCAGAGGAATCCTCGAGAAAACGCCCACGCCGTGGTGGTGGTGGGTTCATGGCGGCGGCGCAAGCGGTCGGAGGCGCACGAACCCCGCAGCTGGGCGAAGGCGCTGATAGCTCCACCAACCACTAGCAGCCTCATCACGAACTCGGTGCGGGTGGAGCTCTCGGCCTTCAAGGTGTCCACAGGTATCAAGATGTACGAGGAAGACAAGGAAGGCACAAAGGTGTACCTTGACCCCTTGGACTAGTGGCGGGTACGGTGCGCAGACTTCCCGCACTTGGCCAACATCGTCACGAAGAATCGCAACAACTTGGCCCCGACCACCGTGGAGCTCCTCGTCCTTCTGCGCCACTCGTGCAAGATAGTGGAGGAATGGGAACAATCGAACACCCCCGCGGCCGCGAAGCGGGGCTAGGGTAGTGGCTGTCTTTGATGGTGGCTGTCTTTGATGGGGAGGATCTTAGTTTGGTTCTCTGCTGAAGGGTGCTGGTGGCGCAAAAATCGCCATCCTAAGTCTTTGCTTGTTGTGCTGGTGCTCGGCAGTGATTTGTGCGCGGTGTAGGTTTCGGTTGTGTAGCTTTGGCGTTGTTCTCATCTCCTACTTGAGCGTTCTATCAAGCTGGTGGTTCATTTGTTGCGCAACTTATCCTGTCTGTCGTTTCTAGGTAGACTAGTAGATAGACTAGTCGTTCCCTCTTTAGACTGGCTTTTTAGCTCTTAGCTGATTGCTTGGTATACGTTCAGGGCTGCCGTGTCATTGTGTCCGTCGTAGAGTCCTTCGTGTTTCTGCGAGAGAGGGGCGTAGGGTCCAGTATACGAGAGCGTCGCTCATCAACCCAACTGATGGATGGCACTTGGTTGCTCGAGAGTAACATTTCAATATTTCTAGCTAACTATTTCCTCATGTCGAAAACCAACAAATTCGGTCGTTGAACTCGAACTTTCTATCGTTTTCCCCGCGATAGTGCCTCTGTCAGATGGGCCAAAATCACTCATTTTTTATGCTCTACAGATGGCGCCCGCACTTGAGAAGCTCCAGTTTCGGCCAAGGCTGTCTTTTTTTTTTGCTGATCATCCTCTTGTGGGCTACAAATGGCCGCTGTATAGGTTTTGGTGTGGGGTTCTCAACCGAGCTCACAAATGGTGCTCAAGTTCTTAGCTTCTGATTTTTTGCGAGTCTCAATTTCTTAACTGCGAAGTTCTCAAGTGAGGGCGCTATCTGTAGTGAAGCCTTGCGTAAAAAAGCGCCTCCGGCGGGGCGCCTCCAGTGGGGCCCTCCGGGGGCGCGTCCGGCGGGGCCCCCTCACCTGCCGGGGGGGGCGATGGTCGCGGTGCAGCCGCGACCGCGCGGCTTC